CATGTGGTCATAAAGCATGATGTCATGTGACTGAGCCACTTGGCTATGGCAGTTCCAGCACTTTGGTTGCTGTTGTTAAGTGAATCCTGCACCGCGGTTAAGCATGATGCCATTTGTGACCTCCTGCTGGTTTCCCCATTGACTTTGCTTGTCGGAAGCTGGCAGAGAAGGTTGCAAATGGCAATCGTGACTGCGGGACACTGCAGTGTAATTACAAGCCAGTTGCCAAGGCTGAGATCGTGATCACAAGACTGCGGGGACACTGTGACCATTGTAAGTATAAGGTCCAGTCAGAAGTACCACTTGTTCGGCACTGTTGTAAGTTTGAACGGTTGCTGAATGAATGGTTCAGCAAGAGTGAGAACTACCTATACTGGTGCATGCTGGATAATTGAGGAAGCCAAAGAATACCAAAAAGAAGACAGTATGGCTTTTGATTGTGTTCTCCAACCATGTCAAGTTATGGCCCTTAGGAAAATGGGAATCTGGAATATCTCATTATTCTTTTTTTAAAAACTATTTTTATTGAAGAGTTTAACACTAAAAGATAATACAAACTGAAATCAGAAAGAAAAAAAAATAGAAAAATTCACAGTGGGAAAAGAAAATAAATAGAAAAAAGAATATTTAAAGAAATGACTCCCAATCTTCCTTGCAACAAGTGCAGGCAAATTTAATATTTCCCCACCCTCATAAGATTACATACATGATTCACTTCTTCCCATAACCGCCCCCCCCCATCAATTCACAAATCCAAAAATAGTTGTTGTGGCAAAAAGTCCATAAAGGATTTTCAGAATTTTATAGAAATACTATATTTCTTATTTTAACCCTTATCAAACAATTCAAATTTATTTCCTTTCTTTTGCTCTGACAGTTTTGATCTTTAATGCATCAAGTTGCTGTCATGGGGTGGAAACTCCATTCAAACTTACTTTCTTCTGTCTCAGAGATTTCTTCAAGGCTTTAGAAACCCTCTTTTGTGAATCCAATGATAAATCCTTTTTTTTTCTCTGAAGGACTAATATCAGTTCTTGTTAGAAGGCACTAAATATATACTGTATTTAGGCAATTTTTGTGTTAGAGAAGATGCTAACAAACTTTTTGTAGATAAAAGACGCAGTTTGTATAAATTAACATAATCTATCAGCTGTCAGTTAAGCTTTCCCTTTTCTTATACTTTTAACAATCTATCTTTTCTAGGGAATATACTATCAAATTGGAGATGTTGTTTCAGTGATTGATGAGCAGGATGGTAAAACATATTATGCTCAGATTAGAGGTTTTATTCAAGACCAATACTGTGAAAAAAGTGCAGCTTTAACATGGCTCATTCCTACTACAGCAAGCCCAAAAGACTATTTTGATCCTGCAACTTACATAATAGGTAAGTTCCAAGGATTAAAGTATTAAGGCCCACTTGTCCTGATGATAATTGTACAGCTTCAAAGTTAATTTGGTTTTCTCCCCTAGAAAGGCACCATCAGGCCTATCTTTTTAGAGAATATATGTTTGTATTAGAAACACATTATTTATTTGACAACAATCTCTTCTGTTTAATGTTATTGATATGCTAAGGCAAAAATGTTGCTAAATGAGATAAATTTTTACCTACTTTTCAGCGGGGTGAGGGCTGCAACGCACCCATATGTCAACCTTACACATTATATCTTAGCTTTCTTCAATCTGGGAACTCTTCAGATATGTGGAATTCAATTCCCAAAATTTCCCAGCTAGCATGGCAACTAAGAATACTGGGCATTGATCCACAAATCTGGAAGAATGAGAAAGACTGGCCTTCCACATGTCAGCTTTATAAATCTCTTCTTGAGCCAAAAGAATCTGAAAAAAATTAAGGTACACAAATGTTGAGTATATACTCTTTGCCTTGCTTTAACATCATCTAGAATAATCATGCAGAAAATAGGTAGAGCTCTATATTATAAATCTTTGTCTATTTGCTGTTAGTTTTATACTTATTTATTAAATTATTATTTATTAAATTTATTATGGCCGCCTATTCCAGTAGAGTCTGGGCAGCTTAGAAAATCCAAATACACAGTTAAAACTGTTAAAACACTTAAAACATGACACCCCAAACTAAAAACAGCCATAAAAATGGAAGCACAGTAGGGGCCCCACAAACACATTAGCTCCAGGCCTAGGAACAGAGCCAGGTCTTAAGAACCTTCCAAAACTTCAGGAGAGAGGGCACCATATATATCTCTGGGGGGATGCTGCTGCAGAGGGTGGGAGCAGTGATGGAAAAGGCATACTTCCTCAGTCCCATAAGATGACAGTGTTTAATTGAGGAGACCTGGAGCACACCCACTCTGCCTGAATATACTAGGCAGGCAGAAATGATTGGAGATAGGCAATCCCTCAGATAACCAGGACTTATGCCATGAAGGGCTTTATAGGTAAAACCAAGCACCTCGAATTGCACGTGGAAGCCAGCTGGTAACCAGTGCAGCTCATGTAGCAGTGGTGACACACGGGCAAAACAAGGAGTGGCCATTACTGCTCATGCCACTGTATTTGGACCAGCTGTAGCTTCTGGGTGGTCTTCAGGAGCAGCACCATGTAGAGCACATTGCAATAGGCATAAGTGACCATCTGAAGGGCTTCCTGTGCCAGGAAGGGGCACAACTGACACACAAAATGAACCTGTGCAAGAGCCCTCCAGGCCATAGCTGCCACCTGCTCATTGAGCAGTAACTGTAAGTCCAAGAGAACCCCCAAAATTCTTCTGTGTACTTTTTGACTGAGCTGTACATATCACAACCATCTGTCTGGAAAATAAATGCTTTTTTTTTTTAAGGACCAGAAGAAGATCTTCCCAGAAAAATTGAATACTTGGAATTTGTCTGTCATGCACCTTCAGAATATTTCAAATCTCGATCAACTCCTTTTCCTACAATTCCTACTAGGCCAGAAAAAGGTTATATCTGGACTCATGTTGGACCTACTCCAGCAATTTCAATCAAGGAAACTATTGCCAGCAGCTTGTAGTATCTCTTCAGAAAAGGTTTTTATTTATATTTTAAATTACCCAGCTGACTTCTATTTATTGTTTACATCTCTGTGCCTTTGTCAATTTCTTTTCATTTTTGAAACTGTATTTTCTTTCTCAGAAAAAAAATGTGATTTAATCTAGGGAAATGGGTATTTTTAATTATCTCTGCTGTGTTAGAACTATACTCTTACATTAGGATACTGCATACAGTAATTCATATTTAGTTTGGTCATGGGGTGGGGGTGTGGAGAAAGACATTCATTAAAAATTGAGCTGGAATTACAGCAAAATGGAGGAAAAACGATGCAAATATATCAAAACACTGTTTGAAAAACACTGGAAAAAAATTGAATACATTTCCAATGTTGTATATGTTCTGTGCTATCCAGAAAAAGGTACAAAGTCTCCTTTAGATAAAACCTAAGGTGATTTTAAGAAATGAAGGTTCAGCTGTAAAACAGTTTCGGTGGAAAATCATCTGTTCCAACATGACTCCATTATAACAGGCATTCTTTTTGTTTGGATGATGACTTATGCCATAACCGTAATGTGGATTCCTGAACCAATTTATTGGTCTTGTTATATATTAAAGGATATCTCATTGATTCATCCCAAGGATAATCAAGAGGCTTGGGGCAATATAAGCCTCTACCTCTTTACCTTTAATATCTGCAGCTAATAGAGGTGAGTAGTTGGAAGCAGGAGTGGTTAATTAGTTGCTAAAACAAGGATAAGTCCCAGGTATCTTTTAAGAGATAGCTGAATAGCCATTCCTAAGGATGTTCTAATTGCATCCAGAGAATTATTTTAGCTTCTACCCAGTTACATTACTTTTGCCTTAGACATGGTAGTTCAGAAATGGAGCTGGTTTGTAGATTAACTTGGATAATACAGAAACTTGGTGCAAATATTGCTCTAACCCATTATATGATTTTTGTCTCAATATGTTGTAGGTACCTATTTAATTGTAGGTTGTTCAGAAACCATGGTTAAAGTGTGGCTTAATGTGATGCACAGTCCCAGCCTGATTATCTTACTCCATTTTTATCTAGTTTCAGATTTAATTTTAGCATCAAAATGGCTTTTGATACTGCTGCTGCTCATGAACAATTTTTATGAAATCCAGATCTTTTTTGTATCACCACATAAAACAATACAAGGGCTGTATTTATGTGTAGACTCTGTAATGGGTTTAGGACTAATACTCTAGAAAATTAGTAAAAATGGAGCTTCTGGTAAATAGTGTTTCTGATGTTTTGGAAGCAGTTTATGGATCAGCTGTATAGTTTATGAATTCTATTAGGCTCTACCTTGGGACATTTCTGTGATGCAAATAGTATCACAGACTGGTATGTATCAACTTCAATTTCTTCTTAGACATGTTTAGGTACAGGTAGTTCTCATTTAGTGACTGCCTCAGACAGTGACTGTTTGCAGTTTGCCTGCATTTACCACCTTTGCAGCGTTTCTCTCAGTCATGTTTGCCATTACAGTCTGTCAATACGCATCATCCTGTGCCTGACCCATTTTTTTTCTTTCCCCCCCTCACAGAGTGGAGAGATTGGCTAAACAAGTGATCTCTTCCTGAGCTGCTTTTCTCTGCAGCAGTGCGCTTCTAAAAAATGCTAACTGCAAGTTAACAAGCTCAGCTCTCTGACTTTAATTAGTTGATTAGGACCCTCTGGTTTGTGCTGCTGCCTGACATTGACTGGTTTCATATTAAAGGCTTTTTTTGCCTCCTAGAAGAACAGCTGGTGTTAGCATATTCCTTTCGATATGTATTCCCCATTGTGTGTCTGCTTATTCTCTTGTAATCCCTTCCTCTCCAGTGAATGTAAACACAAACATCAATTCTCTTCTTGCTAATTGTCCCAGTGCCAGGGTGAACATTCCAAAGGGCAGGAGGTGGGGAAAAAGGGCTATAAGATTTGCCCTTTTACCCAGCTTCCATGTGAGTTGAGTTCTGGAAACTTTCCCTGCTGTTTGGGCTCATATCCTTCTGATGCTGTAAAGTAAAGGAAAGCTGAAGTAAAATCATAAGTACAGTCACGATCATGTGATTTTCACTTAGTGACCACTTTGCTTAATGACCGAGATGCCAGAACCAATTGCAGTCACTAAATGAGGACTACCTGTAACTGAATAATAGACTATTAAACTCTGAAAGATCTAAATCGGTTATTAAAAAAACAACTTGGAAATAGCTAGATAACCCTCATGAGTAAATGGCTGTAATATGATCAGAATGGTCAGCTCATAAAAACATTCTGACTTCATTCTGCATTTGGAATTAATGGAAGCTTCTGCACTATACTTAAAGGCACCTCTAATCCAGTCTAGATACAATGAAGGCATGCTCAAAAGTCCTGTTTTCTGTACAGAAGAAAAACTAGCTGAAGAT